TATCCCACCGTCATCCCAGTCCCCTCCCAGCCCATCCCAGTATCTCCCAGTCCCCCCAAATCCACTCCATCCCCTCCCAGCCCCCTCCCCAGTCCGTCCCGTTGACTCCAATCCCATCCCAGTCCCCACAAGTCCATCCCATCCCCTCCCATTCCCCTCCCAGTCCATCCCAGTGACTCCAACCCCCTCCCTGTCCACTCCAACCTCCCCTCCCCCTCCCCATTTCATCCCCCGGTGCTCCCCCCCGCCCTCGCCCCCCGGCGCCTCCCCCTCCTCCTCCTCCTGCCGTTGGATTCCCCGCTCCCCTCCACGTTGTCCCCATCGGGTCCGGGGACGGCGTCGAATTGGAGCTCTCCGTGCACCGGGCCCAGCTGGGCGCTTTCCATGGCGGCCACCAAACGACGACGGCCGGCACGGAGCGGAACCACGGGCTGACGGAGCCGCAGCGTCTGCTCCGGAGCCACCGTGCTGAGGGAGGAGAGGGGTCAGCAATGGGGGTGGGGGAGGGGGACAAGATGGCCACCAACAAGATGGCCACCCAAGCCCGAGATGGGCCGCCACCACCCAACGTGGCTGCCCAAACCCAAGATGGCCACCAACAAGATGGCCATCCCCATCCAACATGGCTGCCCAAATCCAAGATGGCCGCCACCACCCAATGTGGCTGCCCAAATCCAAGATGGCCACCAACAAGATGGCCAGCCCCACCCAACATGGCTGCCCAAATCCAAGATGGCCGCCACCACCCAACGTGGCTGCCCAAATCCAAGATGGCCACCACCACCCAACATGGCTGCCCAAATCCAACATGGCCAACAAGATGGCCAGCCCCATCCAACATGGCTGCCCAAACCCAACATGGCCACCCAAGACCCAACATGGCTGCCCAAACCCAACATGGCCACCCAAGACCCAACATGGCTGCCCAAACCCAAGATGGCCACTAACAAGATGGCTGCCACAACCCATTGGTCCCCATAGGACCTCCAGATGCCCCCCATTGGTCCCCTCCACGTGAAGCCCCGCCCCCCAACCCCTCCATTGCTCCCCATAGGACCCCTGCGGCACCCCATTGGCCCCCTTGCATGTCAAGCCCCGCCCCCTCCATACGAAGCCCCGCCCCCAACCACCCCCCATTGGTCCCCATAGGAACCCCGCTGCCCCCCATTGGCTCCCTCCACGCGAAGCTCCGCCCCCGCCCGCCCATTGCTCCCCATAGAAACCCCGCTGCCCCCCATTGGCCCCCTCCGCACCAAGCCCCACCCCCTCCACGCAAGCTCCGCCCCCAACTCCCAATTCGTCCCCTATGTGCCAAGTCCCGCCCCCAAAGCCCCGCCATTGGTCCGCACCCGACGCTGACGGAGGCGGGGCAGGAAATCCCCGCCCCCTCCATGCGAAGCTCCGCCCCCGTCAGCTTTTGGGGCAGCGGATTCTGGAACAGAACCTGAACCGAAACCTCCTGCCCTACAACTGCGGGGCCCAGCAGCTGCGGGCACAGAGACAGAAGGGTTGTGGGGTCGGGTTTATGGGGTCGGGTTTATGGGGTTGGGTTATGGGGTTGGCTTGTGGGGTTGGCTTTATGGGGTCAGGTTGGGTTATGGGGTTGGGTTGATGGGGTTGGGTTGGGTTATGGGGTTGGGTTGTATTTGGGGGTTATGGGGTTGAATTTATAGGGTTGAGTGGATGGGGTTGGGTTTATGGGGTCGGGTTGGGTTATGGGGTCAGGTTGGGTTGTGGGATTGGCTTTATGGGATTAGGATGTGGGGTCGGGTTTATGGGGTTGGGTGGTGTTATGGGGTTGTGGGGTTGGGTTGTGGGGCTGAGTTATGCCCAGTGGGACACCCAAGGGAACCATGGGAGGACCAAGAAGGGACCCAAGGGACCCACAGAACACCCAAGGGACCCAATGGGGCACCCAAGGGAGACAGGGGGCACCCAAGGGACCCAATGGGGCACCCAAGGGACCCACGGAAGGACCAAGAGGGGACCCAAGGGACCCGATGGGGCACCGAAGGGAGACAGGGGGCACCCAAGGGACCCACTGGGCACCTAAGGGACCAGAAGGGGACCCAAAGGACCCACAGGGCACCTAAAGCACCCAATGGGGCACCCGAGGGACCCACGGAAGGACCAAGAGGGGACCCAAGGGACCCAATGGGGCACCCACGGGGGAGCACCCAGCGTGGCACCCATGGGTGCCGAGGGCAGCCGTACCGTCATGCCCAGGTCCGGGGTGCTGAGCCGCAGCCGCAGCTCCTTGGCCGCCACCTCCCCCGTCTCCTCCGCCGTCGCCGCCGCCGTCAGGCGCAGGCCGTCCTGGGAGCCCACGTGGGGGGAGTATTCGGGGTACGGCACCGCCATGCGCACCACCTCCTCTGGGGGGGGGGGACAGCGGGGTCAGGGGGG